TTCATTATAATCATTTAAGGTTGGTAATAATTAATTATAATCATTTAAACCACCTTTTAGTTGTGGATATATTTTGATTAAGATAAATTATCGATTAAGATTTTCAGCTTTAACAATAATTCATAGTCAAGTAAGTTTAATTGCACATTAACTTTTATCAGATCATCCAAAAAAAATAAATAAATACACAAGCAGAGCAAATACAAAATATGCTTTATCTATTTAATATATAATTTCTTTTTTTTTTACGTTTTTGTGTCACTCGTGGCTCGTTTTTTCGACAGTAGGCTTACAGGAAGGGGGTATGAGAGAGGGGGAGAGAACATACGGCAAAGGACCACAGGTCGGAATCAAACTCGGGTCGGACGCGTCAAGGACTAAGGCCTCCGTACATGGGTCGTGCATGTTAACCAGTGCCCCACCTGCATACCCAAATTAGTTTTCTGATTATAAAAAGATAAGAAAAAGTGCTAAGGTAATCTTTGATTTTATCCCCTATTTTTGAGAAGTTACATATGAATTCTGCCCACACTTATTGTAATTTGAGAACCAATTTAAAAAAAAAAAATGTCATCATGAACCACAAGAAAGGTTGCTTTGTGGAATTGAACAGCAAACAACTTGTTGACTACCTCCTTGACATTTGCAGAGCAGATATCCAGTGTAAATAAAACAAGCAAGCAGTTCCTAAGCACATTTCTTTAGCCATCTATAAATAGAACAGCTATACCTACCGCTGCATCTGAATGTGGCTAAAGAAATCAATTTTCTAATCCGCCTGTATTTCCAGTGGATCACTATATGTTGTCCTTTTATCTTTTAATTTGAATAAGGCAACCGTGTTCCCAGGTAATAATAGAGACTAGTCTGTGAGTTGGTCCAAGCACACAACCAAGCTAAAAGATAATCTTTGGGTATGGCTTAATCATCTCTTAGTTTTTTTTTATTGGTGTTCTTTTCTTATTTTACTTTCACCTAGATAGACATTTTACATAAACATGAGCATAAGCAGACACTCTGACTGAGGCCTGCAGAGCTATAAGGCACAAACAAAGCAAAGTTATACATATGCTCACACACTCCCACATACACATATGCAGAGCCCCTAGAACACATGTACTAACGGATAACATATTACTCGAGATATGTCTAAACAAAAGCACACAGAAGAACGGGGGGCTTGACAGATGGCACCTTCCAGTGTGCCAAAACATCCTCCCAGGGCCTGGCTTCCCTTAAGTGGCTATCAGCAGACAGGGAATCGGCTGAGTGAGCGGGTGGATGGATGAGTGATTTCCTTTTTACAACATTCAGGAGATTTTTCTAAAACAATGAATAGATAGGTCTGAGAAACAGCTCAGAGTACATCTCTGTTAAAAAAAAAAAATACAAAAGTTGTTCAGTTCATCATTTAGTTAATAAACCATGTGTCGAACCATGAGACCTATTTTCTGAAGTGGCAAATCATTTAACACTTGCAAATATTTCAAACCTTTGAATCTTACTGGGACCCATTTTTTCTTTGTGCTCTAGCAATAAACAAAGATAATTAGTTTAACAATGTTGCCAAGACACACTAGTACACAAATGAAGACACATGTTTGCCACTTTGCTTATTTCTGACACCTTATATCCCTGACATTTACACCAGTAACTCAATTCAGTTTCAATCCTCTATTGGCTTGAGTAAAGGTCAGCAGATTTGATTTTTTACCACAGTATTTGGTGAAACATTCCAGTGCTCACCTACTTAAAAAATGTATTCCCTGCCCACAGTTTTATAAAATCAAACACCAGCTTATGTAATGCCTTCATTCACACTAGGGTAGTCCCAGTATATTAGCTGTGATACTAGCTGCTTGACTATGATATCAGTTCTGGCTTAATTCATATATAAACCTGATCTTGTTCCACTTGAGAGCTGCCCCATATCGAGAAGAGTCACCAGAGGACTATATCTCTCGGCTTGCTTGGGGGTACCTCAGGCTTGCCCCAGCAGAGATAGAGGATTTGTCTGAGGAGAGGGAAGTCTGGGAATCTCTGCTGAGACTGCTGCCCCCGTGACCCGGTCCCTCTGTAATCCAGAGGCCTATGTCACAAAAGCTGAATTCAGAAATTTAAGGATAAGAGATAAAGCCAGGCTTGCCCTAGCGGAAGGAGTTAATCCAGGCTTCATCTGTTCCAAGCCAAGCCAAGCTCCACAGGTGTAGCTACATTAAGTTTTCTTCACAAGACCATGAGGACAATCAGAGATTTACCTATTCAGCAAACAATAGCAGATTATCTAAATACCTCAGCAGCTTAAAATTCCCTAACCACTTTGCTTAACTAAAAAAAATAAAAAAATAAGAAGTTATTGTTAATTAATTTTCAACCTTAAATGAAAAGTAATAGCTGATATGGTAAAGTTGATAGATTTATATAATTTTTTTGTTCTTATATTTAGTCTCTCTGTTTTGTAATGATTTTAGTCTTTGCCTTTAAAGTGCGAAGCTTCCAAAACAAACCCCGGGGTTTTACATGAAAGTTATTTAGCTTTAGGAACTTTAGTAAACAGATATTGTTTATCACATTTTCTGTTTTTGTTTCAATATTCAAAATCAACTTTTTATGCTCCAAAAGGGTAATAAAAAATACCACAACACGCAGTAACTTTCACGAACGAGAAGATACTGCACCAGGATTAAGTAAGCCTACTGTAGCTGTAAGCATGATTGGGAGCAGGTTAGCTGCACAGAATAAACTACCAGATAACTAATATGTTGATGCCTTTTTGAAATCGAGCTGAGGTTTAATAGGCAAGGATAATCATCTGATCCTGAAAATGAATGTAACAAGAGAGATGAATGTAGATTTCAGAATTAAGAGGAACAAGGCAAATGCTTGAAGAAGTGGTGTTGGTGGAGGGGAATAAATGTTCCCCTGGACAAGAGTCTTGACAAGAGACACAACTGTGAAGATGTTTACTAGAGACTAAATAGCAGCCTCTACTTCCTGAGGAAGCTTAGGTCTTTCAATGTAAGTGGGATCTCTTCTGCTATAATCTGTTGGGGTTTCAGCTTCAGAGCACATGACTTAAAGAAGTTTAACAAGCTGATACAGAAAACTGTCTCTATTCAGGAACTCCTTTAGAACCTCTGAAGAAGACCTTAATAATTCTTCATAAGATGAAGTACATTGAAGACAACCCTCCTATTAACAACAGCTGTTAAAGGAAAAGTCCGGTCAGCAAGGAATGATCAATGGATCATTATCTATACCTAAAACTAATACATTCACTGTGATTTTAATGAATTTAGCGTCCATCCATCCATTTTCTGACATGCTTAATCCCAAATGGGGTCGCGAGGGGTGCTGTTGCCAATCTCCAGCTGTCTATGGTCGAGAGGGTACACCCTGAACAGGTCGCTAGTCCATCAAAGGGCAACACAGAGACAAACAGGACAAACAACCATTCACGCACACACTCACACCTAAGAAGAATTTAGAGAAGCCAATGAACCTAATAGCCTTGTTTTTGGACTGTGGGAGGAAGCTGGGTACCCGGAGAGAACCCAGGCATGCTCGGGGCGAAAATCGAACCCACAACCTTATTGCTGCGAGGCAGCAGTGTTACCCACTGAAAAAATAAAAAATAATAAAAAATTGTCACGACCACTGAGTCCAGGATCTGCCATTTTTGCCCAGATATAGTACTCCTGACATCTTTCGGCGGTGACGCCATGGTGCGGTAAGCCTGGCGCCATTTCCCCTGCTTTACAAGCAAAATCAATGGGAACTACAAGACATATCCTTAATCAACAACAATTATTTAAGATTTACAGAGGACTTCACCATTGAAACGAGAGCTATAGTTAAACTGACAATGTCCATGTCCATGACAATTGAATGCTGTAATAGTGTACATCGGGTAAAAGTGGAAAAACAATTAGTTATTTCACCTTTCCGATTCATGATCCAACATGGGTTTGTTGTTGGATGGCCAACTTGGAGAGGGAGAATTTGTCGTTGAATGTAGCCAACATTTCAAAGAAAAATGTTTTTAAGATGACTCGGATAATAGTGCGTTGTGACAAACCACAGATACAGCATTGGGACTTGATTAACAGCCGATACCACAACGTGACGTCACAAACCGGTAGGTAGCAGTAGTGTTCTTTGACAAACATGGATGTCTCCATTCAAATGGAATTACTCTTAATTAAAAGCACTTATCATTTATTAAACAGTATGGAATAATTTCATATTTAAAATACTTTCAGAAGTTCTGAGTCTGAATATGACCGGACTTTTCCTTTAACATTTACAACAACTTCTTGAAGAAAAACTTTGAGAGTTACATTTCCCTTCTGTATGAAAAAAAAATACATTTTGAACTGAAATTAAATGAAAGGGGAACCTTCCACCAAACTTATTTTCTTTAAGTATTGTTCTTTATTTAGAGCTACCCATCTTTCCATCATCTTCCTCTATTCCTAATAAGAGGAGTTGCCTCACCATGATGTCACAAGTTGTGGGGATTTAGAGTCAAATGTTATGTGCAGTGTTATTTTTATAGCTAGACATAAAGCTTTTTGTATAGAACAAAAAGTTCAGGTTTAGGTAAGAGCTAATCTGAGAAAATTGATTTAGATGCCTCCACTTGGCTTGTGAGAAACCTTAATCATAGATTTTTAATGACTGCTATTTATCAATGGTTGTCTTATCATTGCAACCATTAAAGTCAAATTTGCAAAGTGCACAACTAATTGTTGCTCTGCCAACAGCTTAAGTCTGTTAAGCTGTTGGCTGCTTATTTTATTTCTTATTATTTCATAAACGCCGATCATGAAGATTACTTCTCAATTTTAGATTTTCCCTTTATTTAACCTCGACCTGTGAAGATTGCTTTGTAGATTGATCACCTGCCTCTGCTCTGTCAATAAGCAGTTTAATCTCCAGTGCTGAGGTTACTGGGCATTGCTGTGCTTAAAGGGGTTAAGTCGTGTTATATTACTTTTTTTTTTATTCATACCCCAATAGCTCACTCTAGTTGCATGCAAGTTTTCTAAAGGATTATCATGTTCTGCTTGCAAATTATACGCAACTTTTGTGTTTTAGACTCAATTTCTTAGCTAGTAAAACCCTCTGTATATAACAACAGCACTTGACCAGAAGTATGACACTGAACATGCAGGGATAAACAAGGAAGATATGTGTCTAAGCCAGCTATAGTAGTAACGCTCTGTCGCTCTGTTCCGGGCTGCTCGGTTCAAATGCCTGGTCACAGTCTGTATGTGAATGTATGTCAATTTCGGGGCGTGACAAAAGTACAGGCCAGAACCAAATAAGGCAACATCCCCCAACTTACATCAAATCTAAGCTTTGTTTGAATTCGCCCCTTTTATGGTGGAAGTTTAGAATTCTGAGATTTGCAGAGAAAGGAGGTGTTGATGGGGATTAAACTTCTCTGTACGTCCATTTCACCCACTGAACTACCGTTATTCATCTATGATGATGTAAATTCCGTTTTGCATTCTATGACCCCTTTAATGAAACGGACCACTGGTGCTGGGATTCTATTTAGGCTCCAAAAAGGAGTATCATACATAATAATGGCCGATATTACTGTATGTAGCCTTATTTTATCTTGATCAAGTGTTTTCGGTCTTATTTAACAGGATAATATATATATATCCCACTATGCCCCTTTAAACTCTGTCATAGTTCAAAAAAGCAACATTTTTTGGTAACTATATACCTTATCGCTAAATAAATTTTTATACTCACTTATTTTGTGGAGAGAAAAGATAGACAGACCAGTTCTCTCTAGTTTCACACCAGTCTGGCTTGTATACCTCCATCATCTTCTGAATACGAAAGCACCAACTCTTTATGGTAAGAAAGAAAAAACAAAAAAGCTTTCAGTCACTTAAGAGGGTTAATTTACATTAATTAATTACAAGCATTTCAATATGTAAAAAAAATTAAGCAATTAACAGCATTTTGTGATATGCATAAGAATAGACAGGAGGAAAAGCCTGTTTTAACTCAGAAAATCCATGTAAACTAAATGAATTTATCTTTATTAAACTTAACTGTAGTCTACATGAGACCCTATGCACAGTGGTTACACCTACACTATAATAATCTCAGTGCTCCCCACCACTGCTCTAGGTTCTTGGATGAGAGGAGAAACATCTTCTAGAAAAGTTTATGTCCAGTTGCCTAAGCTGAACTCTTCAAGCCAGTGGTAGGTTTATTCTTCTGAAACCTCTCTCTGCCTCAGTCACCACCATTTGATAAACCCTTCCCCTCACTGTTCAGTAAAGTTAGCAAACTCTCTAGCTGACCGGAATTCGAGTCACATCATACAGTAGCTGCTATAAAAATCCTTGAGGAGGGAAAGAGGCTGAGCATCTCTAAGTGGATGCAGCAAAATGTTGCAGAAAAATACAGATATATACTTAAGACAACAAGTGCAACAGCAAGAGCAGAACTGTCAGTATAAGAAGCATCAGAGCAGAGATAGAGCAGGGTGATAGGTGAGAAACTGCTGACAAAAAAAGAGAGATGACTGAATGAATCCTAACAGACAGGTAAGAACTAGCTGAAGATGTTAGAATTAGCAGACTGAATTAAGATCTAAGAATCCATCCATCTTTTCTTATTTATTCTGTCAGGGTTGTAATAGGGTTGTGGCTTTTTAGCCAAAGGCAGGGTACACCATGGACCAGTCTCAGGGAACACTTAGACACACAAACATGCACACACACTCACACCTAAGGAGAATTTAGACAGGCAAATGAACCTAACAGCCATGCCGTTGGACAGTGTGAGGAAGCCAGAGTACCCAGAGAGAACCCACACCCGCACAGGGAGAACATGCAAACTCCATGCAGAAACACCCCAGGCCATGTATTGAACCCAGCACCTTCTTACTGCAAGGCAACAGCGCTAGCCACTGGGTATTAAGTACTGGCATAATACAGAATATATTTCTGTAAAAGTTTTTGTGCTATGAGAAGACATGTCAGCATTTGTTCTAATATAATGTAACAGAGATATGTTTTTGGTAAGAAGAGGGTATAGAGGTACAGGGTGGGGATGCCTTTATTTGCCTTCAATGTCATACATAGTGATGACCAGATTTACATTTGCCACAATGTATTAAGAGTAGCTCTACTCTAATATAGTTTTAATTTAGTAAAAGTAGAAATTGTGATTCAAAAGAAAAATACTCAAGAATAAGAGTTTTAGGATTCCAGTTTATGTGGGTTGTTTTTGTGTTTTCCTCTCTCCACCACCTGTCTTCCCTGTCCTCGTTGGGCCTCCCTGCACACCTGTGGCTCGTTGGGTCATTACCGGAGGAGTACTTGAGCAGCGGGCTGTCACTACCTCGAAAGAGTGTTTGCCAGTTTTGGGTACTCTAGCCAAGCTGAGATTAGCAGAGTCTAAACCTTAGCATTGTTTCTCTGAGTCTGATCTTGTTTTTGTCTTGCTCTTCGGCAGGAAGCCTTCCTGTGAAACTGGGTAGCCTGGACCTTCTCTTCCTGGAAGGATTTACTGAGTTCACACTGAGCAGGGGAAAACGTCCACATGTAGAAAACCAAGTGACAGTCCGCTCCTTAACTCCTCTGGGTCCAATGTGAGTCTGTCTGTCCGCTCTCCAACAAGTTCCCTCTTCTCTGGATTAAAACCCCCACAAACTGGATTTAAGGATTAACTAAGAGCCCCCCAAACGCGAGTTTCTCTCCAGCATATTCAAGCCTCAGTCATTTATCCTACAGTATTGAACTGATCCCTGTGATCTCCCCTTCAGATTTTCCGGTTCCAGTTCACCAGTCCGCTGAATTCCTGCTTCTTCTTCAGTATTTTTCTTCATTCAATAAACCTGTTAAACTTTGCCCTTGGTCTCTGACTGGTTCTCTGCATGTGGGTAAGATCACTAAAACCAATTATGACAAAGAGATTGTCAAACTGGCCTACTACTTGTGGATTAAATGTTTAAACATGCTTAAAAACATAATATTAGGTGGAAAACATATGATCTTAAATGCAATCATGGAATTTTACAGACTTCAAAAACAAAAGATTAAAAAAATATGATTAAAAAATTATTTCAGGCAGCATAAATGGGCATAAAAAATAAAATGACCAAAAGTTAGATTATAAACAGTAGTTATGCTGTGCTCATATGAGCATTTATTTAATAATTGAGAAGAAGGGTTTTTGGAAATTAAAATGTGGTTTATTTTGTGGATATATGTTTTTTGAATAAAATCCAATTGCATTTAATTAATGACAGACGCTGCAATTAGCTTGCTAAAAAACTGTAATTACATCCAACCATGATTTAAATATCCTGGGGCACAAGGATAGAGTATAAAGTATAGTAAAGGCTACCTTTTAAGAGTATATATTTTTAGTTTTAACCTCATAGTTACCTAATTCACCATAACTTAAATAGCTTTTAAGATTTGGGTTTCACTATAAAAAATGCACAGATTAAAATATAATGCTGTACTTAGTTAGTTTAAACAATAAATACAAAGATGATTTACCACTCACATAGTCTGTTTCTTCATCTAGATCTGTCCTGTCCTTGCGTGCATTGACTTGGGGGAAGACATCAGTTATCAGATGATTGTGATGACCTGATGCTTTTCCATTACAGTCCCTGTGTTCAAGGCCTAAACCACTACCAACTCCCGAGCCTCCCATGAGACTGCCTACTGCCCCAGAACCATTCTTTCTTCCATGATCTTTAATCTGTGTTGGTGGCAGTCCTGGAGCTTGTCCACCTGTGCGGAGCAACTCTGGGAGTTCCAGTGAAAGAGCCCTTCGATCCCCTCTTGCACCAAAATGTTTGGAGAGGAACAAAGAGGGTGGGAGAGGATGATGGGAGTGCACAGGGTGCGAGAGAAGGGACTCTTGCTCTGAAGCATGGTTGTAGGAATAGGGGGAGCGGGTACTGCGGACGCGCAGGCTGCCTCCAACTGGAGGTACTCCACCAGAGCCATAGCTCCTCCTCCCAAGGCTGTTTGAGCTAGACCTACAGTGCAGGGAAAAAAAAGCAGAATTTAAGGCTAATAGATATTATTGACAACCGAAATACAAATGTACAAGAAATCAAGAAATGTCTCTATATTTCCCACAATACTTATTAATGGTAAGCACCAACAGCAGGTTCAAGTTTGGGCTATTCAGTCTTATTAAACTATTAGGAATTCATTAAGATAAAATGTAAAATCGTCTACCTGCGACTCCATACAGACTGTGGAGGAAAAGGACGGCCCCAGTTGTGGTAGTTGGAACTGCGACCATGACGCTAAAACAGAAACACAATAATATATCAAATTGTTTACTGAGAAACAAAATATGCAAGAGGTTAAACTTATCATGCACAGAAAAGTTTGATGCAGAAAGAAAAATACAAGGCACATTTAAAAAGCTGTGGGGAATGGGACAGTCAGTGCTTAAAACAAACAAGGAAATGACAAGTCACAGTGCACTGAGATTAAGAATTTAAGATAAAAAATTATGCCACTTCAATTCCCCAAAAGAAACAGTATTAAAAAGAGGTTTAAATTTTAACATCTTTAGGCCAAAATTGAACATTGGAAAAATGTGAATAAAATCATGTTTCTGATTTTGCAGCATTACACCACTGTAGAATTAATAAAAGCCAAATTAACAAAAGCCAAATGTCTTTGGTTATCTTAAGGTGATTCCGATATGTTTTTGATAAAAACACATATCAAAGACTAGAAAACAATCAGAATCAAATTTTCAAAAGCAGTAGGTAAGGAGGCAAGATTTTTGTCCAATGCATGACAAAATGTAAAGCTTTCAAGAGTCATTAGAAGTCATTATTTCACAAATAGGAAAAGAGTTTTCAGTTCTTCATCAACAAGAAATCATTTTATTTTTGCAAGGTCAGGTTGTGCAAACAGACCACATTATCAAACACAGGAACAACCCATTTAAAAGCGAGAAACTGGTTTTATCACAGCACTGCATCAATTTGAGTCTCATCAACGGCAACAATGATTAGTGTGACAACAACAAAGCAGAGTACCAACAAATGGATCTGATTTACAGCCTGAAGTGTGTTATCATCAAAGTGCTGACTAAATAGCGCTCACAAAACTACAGCTGGAACAGCAAATTAAGTTCTTCATAAACAACTCTCTCCAATGCCTGACATCTGATTGCTTTCAGCACCAAGATGTGCAATTGGTCTATTCTTATCAAAAACCTGAGAGTGTGAAGAAGTGCAAGAATATTTAAATGGATGTTATGGATACATTTTGTTTAACATGATTACCTCTGCGATACGAGGGAGCAGACTCTTGCTATCTCACTGGTATACTTGGCTCCTCAGTGCTAACTCACTTACATGTTAACCTGCACCATGTTGTGTGTGCTTATTCTTTCCCACTATACACTCACACACACAGAGCTTTGTTTCCATGATATATGGGGGTATTTCATTGACCTACTTTTATTTTATATGACCTTACCCAGACCTTAACCCTAACTTTTATCAACATATACCTAACCTTAACCCTAATCTAAACTTAATTCACACCTTGGTGCTAGTCCTAACCCCAACACAAAGCATAGAACTAAGAAATGGTGTTGGGTTTAATACTTATTTCATCTGTTGTGGATTGATTGATGGATGAATAGATGGACATAAAGACAGACAGACAATCAGACAGACAGACAGGGAGAGAGATAGATGAAAGCACATTGAAGCATGTTATTTCATCAAATCAGACCTGCTTCCCAGACAAACAAGAATCCACTTTTGAAATTATATATAAAAAAAAAATAATGCCTTGACAATGTGAACCTGTTTCAAAGGAATAAAGTTCTACATTGTCTATTCACTATATACAAACTTGTATTCAGTTGTTAAATTAGTATCAGAGCAACAGCAACATATATTAGTGAATTTTAGGATTAACCCAACAGAATTTTAAAAACCTCCCAAATGAATTCTACAAGATATTCGCTCTGATATAAAGAGAGCACATGAGTCTCAGTGGATGACAGGGTGACAAAGTACCAGAGAAAGGGAGCGTCTCTCCATGCTGCTCTTCCCCAGACTCATTAGGCTGCTCTTTCTGGATTCATTGGTGAAGCTCTGCTTCTCTGAAGAATAGGATCCCCTGGAGCCATAGAGGGCACCAAGCTCCAGGTGACCGTTTGGTGTTAGAGTACAAATCCTCGGATCTACAGATCATTGAGAGAAGAGAATTATTTTTTTTTTTTTCATTTGTCCCAAAATTTTAAATAGATCACATAATGATCAGCTGATCTCATACAAGAAATGAAGACATTTTAGGTAAAAACGGACATTTACTTTTGTCAGTCTTTCATTTTAGTAAAATAAATAGTGTGTTGAATTGAATATTTTCTTTAATTCATCCATTCATTTCTTTTTGTCTTTTCAATGTAATCTATATGTATTATCTATTTTGCATTTATCAGAACAAAATAGTTAATGTGATGCTTTATAAGAATTGTGATAAAACACTTGCCCTAAAACAAATGCATTTTATTTCAAATGTAATTCTAACAATGGTCCAAAACATTCATTTATTTTCTTTTATAAATTCTACCTTTTATTCCAGAGTTTAAAATGTATTGTAATCATCTTTAGGAAATAAAAATAATTTAAATGTGCCTTTTTGGTAATTAGGTAATGAATTAAAGCTTTTTAATGGCAAAATGATCACACATGGAGAGATTCTAGATGTAATTCTAGCAATCCATTTACTCTAGGGCAATGTTTCAAACAGTTAACTTTTTAAGTTAGGCATTAAAAAAAAAGTTGTGTAAACTGCTTTGAAACAAACTTCTGTTTTTCTTTTATGTTTTTTCTCTTACACCTTAAGTCTGCATAAACCCATAAAGGTTAAAAGTTTAGGCAAACACACAAAAAAAAAAAAATACATTATTTCTCGCTTATGAACAATAGCAACCACTAGCTCATGTAAGATACTTTATTTTGATTGAAAGTGACTGACCTAAAGAGATGATAGCATGACTGTGAGTTGAAAGCATTTTTTTTTTTTACAAACCAAAACCTAAAAAGTCTTCCTTGCTTTTGTATTGTACCCCTATTTGTTTTTATACAAATTAAAATATTTGTTGTTCAAACCATAAAAATATGCAAATCCTCTTTTTATTTTTTCTGCATTTGTCATTTTTTTCCAAGATTTAAAAAGTTTGCAATTTGAATGTATTTCAAATTCCAAATGGTGAAAAAAAAAAGTTGTGGTAGTTATTAAACAATAATTAATTAATTATTTGCAACATTTTTCATGCAAGTTCTTTTCCTCCCTTTTTTTAATCTTCTTTTCTACCTACATGACTTTCCCGTTTTAAAAGGCACATCTCTTTCCAGTTTTTATTTTATTCTTTTACAAATAAATTTATTTTTTTTTGCCTCTAGGAAATTTTACAAACAATAAAAAGGAACAAAATATTTGCAGCATAAATGAGGCAGAACTTCAAATGAGAGAGAAGTGAACTCACCAGACAGCTTTATTGAGTCACGTTTCTCACTCTCATCATAGTTTGAAGAAGAGTGGTCATCATCAGAGTAGGAGCGATTCGCATCACCCTAAACGTGGAGAAAGAAGACATGATGCAGGGAGGGAAGTAAGAAACCACCAGCGTGAAACATCAAAGTAAGGGGACTTTTCAGGGACAAAGAAAAATGCATCTTTTCCTTAAAGAGGAAATTTAGCTTCTAACTCATCCTTCTTACACTGTTATTAACCAAGGTTATAATAACTACACATGGTTTCTACCAACTGTTATTAGGTTTTTCATCATTATTGATGCTCAGAACTGTTTGGATAATTATCATTGATGCCACATAAATCAATTTCATATATAAATGGGTTATTTGCTACTAAGTAACTACCAATAAGTAGTTACTTAGTCACCCAAGAGATTCAGTTTAGTTTTTTCTCTTGAGATTAAATCAGTACCTGCTTAAGATCACTAACACCCTATTTTAGAAATCCTCACAGGTTTGGTTAAGACCTATAGGATTTTCCCTAGAGCCATTGTAACAGTAAAGTGGTTCAATGACTCCTTCTGTGTAGCAACAGCAGCTTGCAAAGGCGTTAGAGCCTGAGGGGGGCAGGCTGACAGGGAGAACTATCAGCACACAAAAAAAAAAAAACAGGAGAGAAGCAGCTTTGAAGACTGGTGTTGTCATGTGTATGAGTGTGCCTGTCATTCACACATCATCATTTCATTCAGTGCAAACCTTATATCATTGAGCTATGTTTAAAAAGTTAACTTTAATGATTATGGATGAATTGAATCTGCATAGAGAAAAAAATCAGAGCTTTGTCAAGCTCCAAATGTCTCTGGAAAAGGTCAGAGTCTAAACTCCTTGACCTCCACAGACAGATGGCTTCCAACTGGAGAGGAGTATGCTGAGAATGCACAGACAGGAGGGGTGTCTGTGTGAGGGGGTTTAACATAGAAAAATGTAATGACATGTTTATAAAGGATCACTTACTTATTTTTTATATGTTGTAATTGTTTGACATGCATTGCAAGATTGATAAGACTACATCTCTTTCACAGATTATAGCAGGAAAAAAAATGTAAAAACAAGTGCAACATTTGTTAAACATAATCTATATAAAGCTGCCTTTGGAAGAAAATAACTTATTGAAATTATCCATAGCCTACGTCTGAGATATTGTTGTCCTTGATTGTATTGTTAATAGGGTTGGCCAATACATTACACTCTGAGCATATTGACATTCATAATACTTTTGTCATAGCACCACTGTGCCTACCAAACATAATTTTTCAACTTGCCACGTCATTTAACACATCTATCACTGCCTTGCAAAAACTGCATCTCTTCCTCTTGGCTTCCATGATAGCCATGAAATAAAATTGACCAGCTGGTTTATTTAAATACACAATGACATTCATTTTTCTTTAAAAAAAACTGTGCTTTAAAGCTTTATTTAGAGTGAATTCCACATGTTTCAGTCACACTGATTAAATGTGGTGTTTAAAAACAACTCAGTTGACAGGAATAAAGATATGATGATGAGCGACATGCCGATCAGCTTCGTTTTTCAATAGATGAAGAACTGCTATAATTATGTTCAAGTAATACAGTTATTGATTCTGTAAAAATTTATTACAATAGGCTTATGCTACGTTTAGATTGAAAACAGCAGACCCAGCGGAAGCAGCTAGTTGACATGTAAAGTCAATGGTTGACGTGCATCAAGGTGCAGCAAACGGTCCCACAGCACGTTTTCAGCAGCAAGAGAAAGCTGACGCAGCACCTCACGTTCTTTTGAGCATCTACAGCAGCCGCTAGAGTAGGAAAAATTGAACTTTTGCTGCTCGACGCGCCACATCAACCAATCAGACAAGCTGATTATGGAGCTGGCAGGGAGACAGACACAGCACTGCTGATGCAGATCGCTATGAACACTCCTCCGAAACAGTTTATTAATGCCTATATTAACTTAAAATGTCGGCAAAATATCCATTCATCCATTTTCCTCCGCTATATCCGGTGCCGGGTCTCGGAGGCAGCAGTCAAAGCAAAGATTCCCAGACTTCCCAATCCAATACAGACACTTTCTTCAGCTGCTCTGCGGGGATCCCAAGGCAAAACCAGGTCAGCTCAGAGACATAGTCCCTCCAGTGTGTCCCGGGCCTTCCATGAAGCCTGCACCCAATGGGACATGCCTGGAACACCTCAAGAGGGATGCGACCAGGAGGCATCCGAAACAGATGCCCGAGCCACCTCAGCTGGCTCCTTTCGACATGGAAAAATAAGGACTCTACTCCGAGCTACTCCCGGCTAACTGAGCTCCTAACCCGATCTCGAAGGGTGCCACCCTGAGAAGGAAATTAGTTTTGGCCACTTGTATTCATGTTCTCGTCCTTTCGGTCATTACTCAGATCTCATGACCATAGGTGAGGGTGGGAACGTAGGTAGATCGGTAAATCCAGAGCTTTGCCTCCTGACTCAGTTCCCTCTTCACTACGACAGTCCGATACAGTGATCGCATCACTGCCAATGCTGCACCGATTTGTCTGTCGATCTCATGCTCCATACATCCTCCACTCGTGAACAGGACACTGAGATACTTGAACTCCTCCATTGACTCTCCATGGACCTGAAGAGGGGAGTCCACCTTTCTCTAGTGGAGAACCATGGCCTTGGATTTGGAGGTTCTTTTCCTCATTTCGTCCGCTTCACACTCGGCTGCAAACTGCCCCAGTTGAACCTCATATCCAAGAGGAATAATGGGGTTTTCGTCCCGGTCGCAGCACACTGGGCCACCTCTATAGAAGGCTTTCTAACTTGCACCTTGTGGTGCTCTGTCGGTGGTGCTCCAGAAGTAGGGGGTCTGGGACCCCTGTAAAGGTCTGTCTACTCTCTGTATGAACGCAGCAGGAGCCGTCAAAATGTTTGATTTTAATATTCTGCTGCCTGCAGTTTGGATTACATACATGAAATACGCCTTCCAGCGGTTGTGAACAGTAGCAGAAAAACCCCCAAGAGGCGACCGGGCCAGAGGCTGGCGTATAACGGGATTCCTATTGACAACACACCGCCACTGTTCGGGGGTCTGAGCGGCTCCGACAGCGAAATAATATTAGTAGGCAGGATCGTAATCTTGATGAACTGACTGCAAAGATGGGGTTTTCAGATGGACTTTTTCACTTAAAAACATGGTAAAGCGACTTTTTACCCACTTATAACAGCAAATATAGCTGACATTGTTACAGGCAAAGAAAGGATAGGGTAGCTCCGCCCAATGCGCATCAGAGCCACTTTTCAACCACCCAGCTAGAGGAGCAAAGATGATTAA